AATTTGTAGTACCTTTTTACGTAATTTTTAAATAATTTTGTTTACTTCTCATGTTCCAATTTATGTGGTATTGATATAAATTTCGAAAGTTAGCCAATTTTATTTATGTCTTTTAAATTTGGAAGTTATTAATTATTGTGATTTATATACTTTTTACGTCATTGTCAAATAATACATGTCATTTCCTCTAACCCATTTTATGTGTCACACATAGAATTTTGGAAGTCAAATGATTTTTTTATATTAATTTTAAATATTTTAACTTATTAATTATTGTGATTTAAAGTATTATTACTGTAATTTTCAAATATATAACAGGCTAAAAAAGAAATGTAAGACAAAATTAAAAGGAAAAAAATAGACAGAATTAATAGGTCAATTAATGTGATGCAAATGAAATTTGAAGAGGCAGCTAATTGTTGTACAAAAATTAAGTTGTTAATTATTGTGACTTATAGTACTATTGTGCTTTTAACATCATTTTTATAAGTAACATATGTTCCTTCTTTTATCTTAATTTATGTGGCACAATAGAATTTAGAGAGTTAATCATTTTTTTATATGATTTTTCAATATTTGAATTCAATAATTACAATAACTATAGTACTTTTTATATAAACTTTAAATAATAAATTTTATTTCTTCTATCCTAATTTATGTGACATTAATAGAATTTTTAGTGTCGACTCCCGTAGGTGTAGATTAGACCATTAGAGGATGGATACACATGATATTTGTTATTAGATATAATCAAGCAATAATTGAACTTCCTGCTTTGATTATGGACACTAGTATGTTTCTATTCCTAGAGAGCTTATCTGTGGTTGAAATGGAGTCTATTGAACGCGGAAGGTTTTGACATCTTTTGCACAAAACTTAACCAAGTTTACATGGTTGTGTGGTTTACTCAAAATTTGTTATGTGCCTTGAATCCATCCGTCCACATGGAAGGCATCCCAAATGACCTTATGTGAGCATTCCTACCTCATATCATCTAGCATGTGTTAGCGTCTGACATCAATTAAAAACCTAGCTTTAGTTTATTTAATCGCTCTAATGGTTGAGATGGGGGTTACAAATCTCACTTGAATAATGTGTTATCCTACTCAATCCCACAGAATCCATACTTCAACTTTCCAAGCTTTGCACATCAACATTTGGTGTCTCTTTGAATTTGTCTTTTTCAATTGAGTTTAAATGGTCTATATTCTGTCAATTTTGATTTTGTCTTCACATATATATATTATATATATATAAATAAAATAGAATGATACAATTTAACTTTAAAATATTTATTTTAATCTTAATAAAATTATTTATAGCTACATAAATATTTATCACTTGTTTTAGATCATAAATTTTAATTTTTTTTCTTTCTTAAACTCTGTGTCAAATTAAAATATAAAATAGAGGGGAGGGATAATATTAAGAGTAATATTTTAAGTACAAAAACACTTAAAAGGCTAAAGGTGTTAGAAAATGTGAGAGACCAAAATAAGGAAGAACTTGTCAAATAAAATTTTAATGGACCCCACTTTATTGGATGACTCTATTTAAAAAGTTGCATAAAGAGCGCGTGTGGTAAATATCTAAGTAAGGACCACACTTTGTAAAAAAACAGATAAAAAAAAGAGTAAAAAAGCACATGGCGCGTAGTAATTAAGTACCAGCTGGGGTCCATAAGTCAGAGTAGTAGTACATTTTGAGAAAGGACAAATAAATAAATACATATATATGTGTTGGTTTTTTTTGTCCAATAGAGCAATAAAATAATCATGATAGCAGCTGGTACAAGTCAATTACAACGATTATTTTTTATAATACCTAATTTACCCCTTGGTCGGCAAGTAGCAATGCCCTTGCATAATAACACAATTACTAATTTTCCCTTGGTCGTCCTGGTCGTCTTCACTCTTCTATATAATAGAAATTTCAAATTAAGGCATATTGGAGGATATTCTTCCTTGGCTAACAAACAAATAGAAGGAATAAATAATTTTCCATACGTTTTAATTGAATCAATTTACCTTACTAGCTAGGGTTGTTTAAATGTTGAATTTGAGCATGCAAAATTCTTATGCAAGACTTAGTCAACTATAATCCATCGCATAACGAAGTAATTAATTAAGTAATGTTTTTTTCACTCGTAAGAGACTTGTATTTACTTCCTCCCATTTTAGTAAAAATAGTAAAATCTTTCATTTTCTGAAAATAGTACTCAAGTCAAACTGAAAAAACAGTGGTCTAATTTTCTCTAGTTATTTTGGGTAATATGTACGTGTCATTATTTTATTCGTCAATTTGTCAGAATACTCGCTCATTATATTTTTTTGATTTGGATTGGGATTGTTTTGTGCTAAAACAGATACAAATCTGTTAAAGTTGAAGTGTCTAATATGAGAAGTGTTTGCATTTTACCTCTATTTGTGCCAATTTTTAATTTTGGGAAAAATGCTTGATATACTCTTCAATTATGTCATTTAAAGTTGATATACCCCTTGTTATAAAAATGGCTCACATATACCTCTATCGTTATTAACTGAACCTCTTTATGAGATGCAACATATACTAATGCATGGTTATGTACTGGTGGGACTGCTCCACCCTTAATCAGAGTTCTCGGATTCGGGCCCTGAGTATGGAAAAAATTACATTGGGAGCGCAACCCCCGAATGGACCCTGCAAGTGTGATCCCAATTCAGTTGGGGCTCCAATTCGGACTCCGGATACCCGGATGAAAAAAAATTAAATGGTTATGTACTTGCACCAATTCACCTCTTTTTCTTAACCAAGTGGATGAGTTGTGGGGCAGGGCGGGGAAGAAAGAAACAGGCAAATAGCAACAAGAGGAAGAAGAAAAAAAGTAGCTTTCAATCCATTAATTATGATGTGAAAAGATAATATATACTAGAATTAGTTTGTAGTAATTGACTGGTTCAAACGTCCTAGTTTAATTAGATGAATTGACTAAATAATTCCAGAGAAAGATTAGTTTAGTGTATTAGAAAGAAAAATACGAATTATTATTTGCAAGTTTGAATGGCAGTACGTGGTCCTCCTAATAGTTTTAAATAGAATAAAGAAATTATTCACACTCGATATTTTCATCAAATAAGTAAATATAACAAAGGAATTAATGAAACGATCATAAACAAGGTGAGAGTTCAGATAGTCAATCAACTAACCAGTAATTCAAATTTGCAGCTTGCTAATTCGTTTATATGTTCTATTCAAGTAAGAAAATGCTACTTTAACATTATATAACATATTACTTTACTATTATTAAAAATAATCCACATGTGTTTGTGTTATTCATGTGTAAGTAAGAAAGTTCCATGTATTACCTACCATATTACCAGTGGCGGAGGGAGGATTTTCATCAAGGGGGTTCAAAAAAAATTAATCACGTAAATAATATCCACAAATAAACGGGTCGAATCGGATATAAACGGGTCGGATTTAAAAAAATAAAACGCCTAAACATCATTTTCTGATTGCATTATTATTTATTTTAAAAAAATAAAACGCCTGAAATAAGCTGATAAAACAAAATGCCTTTGCCCGGATTCGAACACGCGACCTCGCGTGCAGTAGAGCAAATTCCTGAACCCCCAACGCCACTGAGCTACGCCTTTGGTGTATGTTCAGGGGGTTCAATAGTATATATATACACATATATTCAAAATTTAATCTTATATATATAGTGTAATTTTTCGACGAAGGGGGTTCGGATGAACCCCCATCATTGAACATAGATCCGCCCCTGCATATTACTATTATTATTATTAAAAATAATGTCCACGTGTTTGTGTTATTCATGTGTAACAGTATAAGTAAGAAAGTTCCATCCACTATACACTAAATTTGGAAAAATAAAACGTTTGACTACTTTAGTAGCACGGCACAGTAGTCTAATTAACCAGTTAGAATGATGATGAATTAGTCCTTGAGATAAATAAAATGTTTGTGACAAATATGATTAGCTTTCTCATTGTTCAAACCAATAAATAATACCCAATCATCTCAATTTATTTGTCATAATTTCACTGAATACAAAGTTTAAGAAAGTAAAAAAGATTATCAGGAATTGTTTGTTATGAGTGATAAAGAATAATAATCCCATATTAAAAATTAGAATTATTTTATCCTAATTTTGGTCAAGGGTATTAGTTAGATTGTCCCGAGATTATTTATCTCACCCTTTGTATTACACTGATGAGATAAGTTATCCCATATATATGGTAGAATAACTAATCTTATGGGTAACTTTGTTGATCCCACCAAATGACACCCCTAAGTCTTGTAGTTGTAAGTTGTAACTAAATGTCTATATAATATATTAAAATGTTCTTTAATCTTGAGGTGTTAACATGTCAGGTGAAATATTGAAATTAATAATTGACCAAATTATGAAAGAGACGTTCTTTCCTATCTTAAGTTGAAAAATAAAATTGTACCCCTGTTATTAGCTATATCATTTTTTTCCATAATGATAAGCTAGACTCTAACGCCAACAAATACGTGATAACATATCGATATTGCAACTAAAAAGTTTGTAAATCTTTAATTTAAACCTTAAACCATAAAAAGTAATCTTTTCTTTTTCCTATATGATAAAAAGAAGAAGGAGAAAAAAACCCTTATGAGACTATACAAAATATGCTATTATAAACGATTAAATTACAAAGATTTTTATATAGGTAGAGAGATGGGAAATTGGTCTCTCTTTATATGAACTTGGACAAACTTCGCCTCCTAGCTAACTTTTGAGGTTTAGTTAGATCAGGTGTCATATCTTTACATGGTATCAGAGTTAGACTCATTCCAATTTATTGTTCACCGATACTGACACCCATTTATTATTTGTGTGTGGAAATTTCAATAGTCAATATATGGAAATATTTAACAATAATTTATTTAATAAAAAAACAATGTGGACATAAGGCATTGGCAAGTTTTTTCCACACGGTCTCTACTTGACTTGTAAAGCTAAGTCTACGCTCGTTTTTCTTACAATGCAGCCAACCATTTTTGATTCATATAAACCACCAATACACACTTATAAAAAAATCCATCAACCACCACAGCCTGGTTGCCTCATTCACCTCTCTCTTCCCTCCGTCCGGCCTACCGGAAAAACAAGAATCTCAATGGCTTCAAATTTCCACTTTTTTCTCTTATACCTTGTGACCCTTTTCCTTTTTGCTCAAGCAAGACTGAATCTTTATCCACAAGATCATGCTGCACTTTTGCTTGTTCAAAAAGACTTAGGCATCATTGCTCTTAACAACCCCTGTACGCTCGCAGGAATATCCTGCGAGCGTAGACCGGGTAACAGAACACAAGTTCTGAGAGTTACCCGTATTGTATTCAGATCCAATGGATTGAAGGGAACTTTGTCTTCTGCTATTGGCAAACTCTCTGAGCTCAAAGAGCTTTCTCTTTCCGACAATCAACTATCTGAACAAATCCCAATTCAGATTCTTGATTGTCGGAAATTAGAGATTCTTGAACTTCAAAGAAACAGATTTTCTGGAAAGATTCCGTATGAATTGTCATCTTTAAACCGTTTAAGGGTAGTTGACTTTTCATCGAATGAGTTTTCTGGGAATCTTGATTTCTTGAAATACTTTCCTAATTTGGAAAAACTGTCTCTGGCTGATAATATGTTCACTGGAAAAATACCCTTTTCATTGAAATCTTTCAGGAATCTTCGTTTCCTCAACATTTCAGGGAATAGTTTCCTTGAAGGTCCAGTACCTGTCATGAGTCAAATTGAGCATTTATCAGCAGATTTGAATCGAAACAATGCCGTTCCCAAACGTTACATTCTTGCTGAGAATTCAACAAGGTCAAATCAGATATCTGCAATGGTGCCTGCTCCAGCTCCAGCACCGGTCAATCGTGTTGTACCGGTGGTACATAAACGTAACAAGAAGAAAAGGAAGTTAAGATCTTGGTTTCTTGGTTTCCTAGCTGGAACTTTTGCTGGGGGTATATCTGCTGTGATCTTTTCGTTGCTATTCAAGCTCGTAATGTTCTTCGTAAGAAGGGGAAAGAACGATAGTTCAAGTTTAACGATATTTAGTCCGTTGATCAAGAAAGCGGAGGACTTGGCTTTCTTAGAGATGGAAGATGGAGTGGCATCACTTGAAATGATTGGAAAAGGTGGATGTGGAGAAGTTTATAGAGCCGAGTTACCGGGGAGTAATGGGAAGATTATAGCTATAAAGAAGATTATACAATCCCCAATGGATGCTGCAGAGATCACGGAGGAAGATACTAAGGCGTTGAACAAGAAAATGCGTCAAGTTAAATCAGAAATTCAAATTGTAGGTCAAATCAGACACCGGAATCTGCTTCCATTACTGGCGCATATGCCAAGGCCAGACTGTCATTACTTGGTGTATGAATATATGAAAAATGGGAGTTTACAGGATATCCTGCAGCAAGTCACAGAAGGCACAAGAGAATTAGATTGGTTGGGACGACACAGAATTGCAGCGGGGGTAGCTGCTGGTCTTGAGTATCTCCATATAAACCATACTCAACGCATAATTCACAGAGATCTAAAGCCAGCAAATATCCTACTTGATGATGACATGGAAGCTCGAATAGCTGATTTTGGGCTTGCAAAGGCAGTTCCAGATGCTCATACACATATTACGACTTCAAATGTTGCAGGAACTATGGGATATATTGCACCAGAATATTATCAGACACTGAAGTTTACAGACAAGTGTGATATATACAGCTTCGGTGTGGTGCTAGCTGTGTTGGTTATCGGAAAGGGTCCATCGGATGAATATTTCCAACATACTTCTGAGATGAGTTTAGTTAAGTGGCTGAGAAATGTAATGACTTCTGATGATCCTAAAATAGCAATTGATCCTAAGCTGAGAGGGAATGGATATGAGGAGCAAATGCTTTTGGTTCTCAAGATAGCTTGCTTTTGTACTCTCGACAATCCAAAGGAGAGGCCTAACAGTAAGGATGTTAGGTGCATGTTAACTCAGATCAAGCATTAGCTAAGTCATACGGGGTATACGTTGGTTATGTAACTAAGAATGTGTTCTGTATTTCAGTTTTTGTTGTAATTGTGTTATACATGTCAAATCTTGTATGTTTACTGCAGTGTTAATAATATTATTTCCACTTCGCTACTTAAATTACTAAAACTCTATGCAATTATCACTTTTATAGTTTGAAGGGGTCCATTAATTTTGCTTCCTTTCAAACTAGACAAGTCTTTAACATGAGTATTGGAGTCTACAAGCCTTAAGCAATACTGCTTAGTTTAAGGAAAGCAAGCTCGATAGTTAGTCATTCTATGACTTGTACAAAATGATAAAATGTGCTTAAACAAAGGTAAAAAAAATCAGATTAAGTATACTCAGACATTAATCAAGAATAACTTGAGAAGAAAAAAAGTTTCCTACTTTCAAGTCAATAAACAAAAAATCATAATTTTGTATTTCCTCAAGTACCTTAAAATGTAAAAGCCTCTAGATGAGTTGCTTTTATCAAGATGACTCATGTCTTAGAATTTAGAATACCTCTGAGGTGGACATCATTGCATGAATCAATACGAACTCCCCAGTCAACTGACCTTTGATTTCGGGGATTAGACAAAGAACACCATAACAACGGAGAGGGGCTAAAAGCCGCTTGACTAGAAGAAGAGAGGTTTCCCCTTGAATCTAAATGATTTATCTTCTTCTCTTAGTATATTTCAAGTTAGGACTTATCGAGGGATCAGTTGACTCCAAAACATAAAGTAACAAGATCATAACCCATGTCCCCGCCCCTTAAAAGGTATGGAAGTTCATTTAATTGAATCAATAGAAAGTTCCAAACATTTGGTAGGCAGAAAAAAAATGCATAAAATGTGAAATGTCATTGAGCGTATCTCATGTTGGGGTGAGTTTGGGCCAACCCAAAATTCAAATCAAAATCCTAACTTTTTGTATATTTGGATTATGAATTTAACTTAAAATTTTATGAATTTTGAATTTCATATCGAATTTAGTACTATGAATTTTTGAATTTCCAAAATTTAGTCCAATATAGAATTACATGATCTGGCTTCTTGGAGGCTCAGTCTTGATTATAACTATAGAAAGCTATTACATTTGATGGAGCAAATTATTAGGTGAAGTGAGGCTGTATATTGTTAATTTGTTATGACCTATTTTAAAGCCCCAAAAGTCAAAATAAAAAAAAATAAAATATTCAATTCAATTCAAATAAAATGCCAAAAGTAGAAAATTATTGGTGAAATAAGCAAAGACTAGACGTTGTAAACACAAGCCCTTATAGCTCAGTGGTAGAGCGTCAGTCTTGTAAACTGAAGGTCCGTAGTTCGATCCTGCGTGAGGGCATTTTTTGTTTTGTATAAATTAAACACTTCTATTTTATTTTATTTTTTCCCACAAAAATAAAAAGAGAAAGAAAAACTAAGTCAAATACTTTTAACTCTTGAAAATTAAGTTTTTGTAAAATACTTCTAAGTTTTTTCGAAAACTTTGACAAATAGGCCACAATTCATCCAAATGAGGCTCAAAGTTCGAAAATTAATAAAATTTAATCTAATTAAACAGTATAATTTTTCAATAAAGAAATATCAGCCGACACCCTTTACGTCAGGTGGCTCCACCACGGACTACACCAATCTCGAGTAAAAAAAAAAACACAAAGGAATCTTCTTTTTGTACAAGTCTTCTAGATCTAAGCTCCAAATTCCATGTACTATGAAAAAGTTTGGAACTTTCCCTTCAAAACTTTACTAGTACTCTCTTTTATCTCAATTTATGTGTTAAATCATTTTTAATCCATGTTAAAAAGGATGTTCTACTTTCTTATTTTGATATAATTTTAATAAGATGATTTATATCATACAAATCTAATTATTCTTTATTTAATTCAAGGGTGAATTTCTCCCAAAATAATCGCACTTTACTTGGAAAATCACTAGTAAGGGTCTCACTATAACTTTTCTGAAATTTAGAAGCTACTTTAAATGGACTATATTGGAGGAAAATGTAAGTGAAAGAAAGTTGTTTAATAGAAAGTATTTTTAGGTTTTAGTATCTGGTTGTCATTCAAGTTCGCTTGTGAGATCATATTGAGTATGTTATTACTGTTGTTATTGTAGTATTTGGTTGCCAAAAATGACTTAAAAAAAATCTTTTTGGTTGAAGTGGTGGGAGATGTAGAAAAACAAAGAAATTGAGTGATAACAATAAAGTAAAATGTGTGTATATAAATGAAGGGAAGAATTAGTGTACCACTAGTGCACTCAAGTTGAGTAATGAGTATCAAGTGTCCCACTTAGTATTTGATTAGATAGAAGAAAATATCAAAATATTGTCCATTTTAATCACCATGCCATCACTTCATGATAGAGAAAGTAAAATTGGATGTGTTCAAAGATATTAATGGTGCAAATCAAATGATCTTCACCCTACTATTTTTAGATTTAGGTTATCCCATTATTTTATGATTCTGCTATGGTTGTTACTGTTTCCTTATAAGTTGATTTGTTTCTCCATTTTTGCTTTCCCTTTTTGTATCTATTTTGATATGTTGTGTATTTGAGTCGATTTAGGGTCCTTTGAAAACAATCTTTTTACCTTCCCAAAATAAAATATGATTTGTGTACTTTACCCTCCTCATACAGTTTATGGAATTTCACTAGATATTGATAGATATGTTGTTGTTTGCGCAAATGGACATAATTTAAACTCTATATGTGTCCCCCACAAAAAACTATTTTAGTTCCAAATTTTCCAATCCTAGTTATGAGCATTAAATTAAAGGGACACTTGGACGAAAATTGCTGCTTTTGTTTTTCTGCAGCTTATCTGATCATTATTTTTTGGAAAAAATCAGTATCTTTTCTCAAAATCGCGATAAGGTTTTGGAGACATCAAAATATCTCTCGACCCTTATCATGCTCCAACTTTTTTCATTAATTAAGCAGTGGGACGATATACAATAACACTAAAAAATATTTTCCGTCATTTCATAATATCACACATCAACGATTTTTGTGATCGACCACATTTTGAAGCCTTTTTTTATGGGTTCCTCCAGAGTATTAGAATGTACAGAAAATGGTAGAAAGACACGGAAAACAAGTATTTGAAGCATATGTGATATGACTAATGGCTAATTTCATTACACAAAATGAAGATATAAACAGACTACCACACAGTAGTTATACACTTTGTATACAACTCTTTTGTTGATACAACACTCTTCATCAACTAAAGGACTGACACAGAAAAAAAAATAAACATATAGAATAGGCCTCTACAGTAGGAAATATGAAATGGTAAAAACTAACTTAGATTCCATTGATGGTCTATTTACAAAGATCGAGTTTGCCTAACGATATGAAATACTTGACACTAAGCTGCCAACCTAAAGTTCATCACTTGAGGATGGCTTAAGTCCATTTTTGGTTCCTCTTCTCTTTTTCTTTTGGGCAGAGATAAAGAAGACATGGCCCTGGCTGACACCACCTTTCTAACAAGTGATTTCCACAGCTCGTCATCTCCCTTTTGTTGCACCTTCAATTTGAATTGTCTGAAATGTAAAATATGGAGCTGTAAGAAACTCAAGAGTCGATATTTACCAAGTACAGAAACAAGAAAAAACGGATGATTAGTTACTGTATCAAATTGACCCTACTGATAAAGAAGGCAAACAATGTTATTTTAAGCTTGATACTTGTTGAACTTAACCAACCCAACGTGTCAAAAAGTTATTCGAGCTCTTGGTAGATATTTTCTTGTGGAAGAGGACAAGTGGACACATTCAATGAATCACAAAAGGTCAGATCATGTTGCTGTCTAAGTTTTGCTACCGTCTACAACAGGTGCATCTGGGTATTAGTCGATATGGGACCATGAATCAATTATTACTACTTGAATGATTGTGTTTCACATGAAGAACGACCTCAACCGAGCCGGCATTTAGAATCACAGTAAAATTTGGAAAAAATATCTTCATGATTAGACTCATCATCACACAAAATTGAACAAAATCACATGCCAGCTAACAATTTTGTATTAAGCCGTAACTAAGTGTTGATTTATCTTGACCAGCTTATAAGACAGTACAGGATTGATAAGCTCCTTGTAACTGTCTACATCACAAATTTAAGACCCATATGAAAAGAAATAGTATCCAACAAAGTGATAGTGAATGGCTCAATCATGAATTGGAGAAAAAATATGGACAAATCAATGTGACAGCTGATTTGTTGGCTTCTTCTATCGAGACAAATCGCCTATAATAACATCCGAGCTCTGACATGCCACCTAAGAAGTTTTCAAGGTTGAACATGACAGACCATAATGGGTATATTGATCAGGACCCATCATTCAAATTAAGCAAGATAGACATGCCTCGACCAATGACACCGCTAAGATGATGTACATATTCTAATTTCTGCCATCAATGAGATTCACTCTCAAGCGATCAACAATACGTGAATTGATTAAAAAATTAGTTACTCAGTAGTCAGTGGTGGTTACCTGCAAAGGGGAACCTGGCAATCGTTTGGTTGGTCACAAATGGATGCGTGTAATCTTAGGATCTGCCACATGCGCTTGCATCGTAAACAACCTCCTTTGGTCCTTCTCTTACAAGTAGCAAAATGTCGAATCAGAAGCTGAAGCCCTTGGCAGGTATCAAACTTGCTACATGGCTGCCTCTTGATGGAAGGTTCTTTATCTAATGGCCCCACACTAGTACATCCTTCTGTGCAAATGTGCTCCAAACAATCCATCGCTTCGCTTAGCTGTAAATACAAGCTCAGCTCCCGTTTGTGTCTCCTTGTCCTCTTCTTCCGCTATAATGAGAAATGTACAATGCAAAATCACTAATCACAGCCACTTGACTGATAAAAGAGACGCAAACAAATGCCATGTAATGATTTCATGGCTAACTTAATATCTTTCATGATCAATTCACAACAATAAAAATTATACCATGAATTCCAAGAGAAGATTTTTTATTAAATAAGGGATGTATGCCAATTATGTTATAATTACGTACCAACTCTGCCTCATCCATGAACTGTAGAATTTCAAGTTCAAGCCAGGGATCATGATGTTGAAGGAACTTCCAGCCCTCAGTCTCCTCAACTTTCTTGAAATTG